GAGACGACTAATGAAGACGGACAATCCTAGTGCGTGTGCAACTTTGAACTGGAAGTTGTGTACATCAGCGACAACGCTGTAGTTATGTGTGATTAAGAGAACTTGTAAAGAATTTGTAACCGAAGAGATAATAAATCGAACTATCCGTTATTTTCTTCACGCATACCCTACTACACGTGACAATGTATATATATTGTGAGGTATATGCTCTATGCAGGACACCCCCTCCCCAGCCAGCGGTGACGTAACAGCTTCGGAGCGCTGCCGCTGCTACTGTAACAGGCCAGTCAACACTCCGCCCCCTTCCGCGGTGACGTAACATAGGACACCACTGTAACACGAGGCAACAGGGAACGGTATAAAAAGCTGGCTGAGCAGTATGTGATCAGGAGTGACACAGTGCGGATCGTGAAGTCGCCGAGAGCAGTGGGTGTAATTGTGATACTGCAGATGGCAGTAATTGTGTAACTGTGAATTGTATGAGTGCGAGGGCGAGTGTTCAATAAATTCGCTATATTCAATACGGCGTGAAGTTATTTGTCGCGTGACCTACCGAACACGTGACAATATTTTTTTTAAATTTGCTTACGGGAGGGAGTCCAACTGGGTCCACTCGGAACGGCGGCCACTGATTGGCCTATTGTAGTCTGCCCCGGGTGATTATGATGATGGATAATTTGGTGGAATGAAGATTGGCAGGGGAAACCGAAGTACTCGGAGAAAACCCGCCCCAGCGCCACTTTGCCCACCACAAATCCCACTTGATCAGACTCTGGATCGAATCCGGGCTGCCACGGTGAGAAGCCAGTGACTAACAGCTTGAGCTATGGCGTGGCCTTGACGGCCTTGACAATGTATGTTACACATGACTGTACAAGTATGTATATTATTATTCATATTCGATATCCTTTACCTTTTCAAATTATCGAATTTTCTGAGGGAACTGAGCAAAACGATGGAAGGCCATCCCGACGAGCACGAGCACGAGTAATGTGGACGCGCCTTAAAAGAACAGCTCTATGTTGCTACAAGTCTCCTGGTCTGAAGTCTCCTTTATGGCAGACCACATGTTCGTATCCTGCCTGAGAATGTGATTCCATTATGGTTAAACATGTGGTTAAATCTTGTGATGTTATAAAGGACATTTTTTATTTCACTAGCTCTACAGCCCCCTTGGGCCTTGGTCTCTGATTTTCAGTTTCATGGTCATTTTACAGACGGTAGGAGTCCTTGGGCGAGTGACCAGCTCGTCGCAAGGCCTCTACCTAAACACAGGACAACACATATACACACCAAACATCCATGCCTTGTGTGGGATTCGAACCCACGATCCCGGCTTCTGAGCGAGCGAAGACAGCACATACCTTAGACCGCTCGAATACCGTGACCGGCGTTATAAAGAATAGAGTTTCACCAATTATTTTGCTACAACGAGACATAGGGATGAGCTAATGGAGAATATAGAGGTCTCCGATTTAATTTTAACATGCACGTTTAACCCAAGTGTTAATTATATAACAGCGACCATACAGACCAACACTAATATTTTCAAACGAAGCAATACATGCTTCATAGCGTCATGGTAGAACTATCTATTGAGAAAGCACCCGCTATAACTAATTAGTTAATTACAAAGGTAAAGTTGTCCCTGTGCCAAGCCACGAGGTACAGTTCCTAGCATGCGTAAGCTGGACACTAGGTGGAGCTGAGTGGTAAGCTTCACGCCCGGGGACGCTGCGCTTACTCTAAAGGTAAAGTTGTCCCTGTGCTTAACTAATTAAGCACTGCACCATGAAGGTGTATGGGAGAGTGGATGTATAGCTCCACGTTATCTTGACATCGGCACTAGCTTGAAGTAAGTGGTCAGCTTCACCCTCGAGGATAGAGCACCCGGTACCCATTGGACAGGAGGTTTGGTGGACCCCAGAGCCGGTCTGGACGACGTGGAGAATAGAAAATTCTTGACCCTACCGGGACTCGATTTCCGACCCCTCGGTCTTCCAGCCCGTAGACAGGCTCTAACCGACTGCGCTATCCCGGCTCCTACACTTACTGTATCATTACTACATTCAAAATGAAGTTAATAGGACCTAAAACTTTGTGACGACGGATAATGTCGAAAAGCATAAAGTTTGTACAAAATGAAATTGATTTAAATGAGACAATCCCACACAGTATCAAACATATCAGTTAAAATTTATATGTAAGAATATAAAAATCATACGAAACGCATGTTGATGTTGAACTAGTTGCATTCCCTAATATCGTTTATAGGTCTGCATATTCACTCGGAACGTAGAACGTGATTTCCTATGAACACACGCTAAGAATCGTAGTTACGTTGCCAAGTCAGTTCCCAATGCTCTCTATCGCGTTGTTATAACAGGCCCTGGTACGTTTTTAGAAAAATATACATAAATTATAACGCGTTTCTATTTATTGTTCCGTGCTGTGAATTTCTGAAAAAAGAAAGCGATGTCAAACATGGCAACCCAGATTCACACCCGTACGAAACTACAGGCAAAATTATAATTATGTAAACAGACGCTTCACAGGTTAAGAAAATTTGACCTTATGCATATTGAGTCCTTTGTCGTCCACCATCAAAATGTCGCCTTGACAGAGGCAGAATACCATTAGGTTAAGGTACAAAATATAAATGAGCTGTAAATGAAATATTGTTTTCGTAAATATGATTTTTTAATGCTTGGAACAATTTTTTTTTCGTGCGGGCATTTTTCTTTCGTGATTGCACTTTATTCCCCACAAAGGGCAAACATGCACGAGCACACGTATATACGTGTATGCCCGTACGTATGCACGCAAGACCTTTCAGACAGGAAAGATTGCGTTGAGTTGCGGCGCTTCTGTCTTGTAATCTTTACATTTTTGGACAGTCTGTGCTTCTATTTGAAGGCAGCAAGGGATACACCCAGCAATGCGAACAAGGAGATGGTAGGTCCTTGTTACGAGTGTGGAATGTGCGAAATTTCTTTATATAGTTTATGGATAAGGCTCTCAAAACGTCTGGCAGTTCAGACCAACACTGCCGATTGTATACAGTGATACATTAGACGCTGGTCCTTTTGCTGCAATAAATTTAATTTATAACAAATTAGAGGACACAGATCGCGAATAATTTGCGGGTAAACTTAACAGTCATATGTAATATATACTTGCACACGCTGTATAAAATATACGTCAAAGAAAAACTTAAGAAGCTTTAAAATTAATTAATAGGGCTTATTCATCTGTCATAAGGTGTAACATAATCTTGCGGCTTACTTTAAGTCGCTGCCAATATCCAGATTGTAGTTTCTATGAAAGGAATATTTGGGAATAGTGATTGGGAAGGGCCGGTCACGGTAGCCCAGCGGTCTAAGGCATGTACTGTCTTCGCTCGCTCGGAAGCCGGGATCGTTGGTTCGAATCCCACTCAGGGCATGGATGTTTGGTATGCGTATGCGTTTGTTCTGTGTTTGTGTCGTCCTGTGTTTAGGTAGCGGCCTTGTGATGTGCTGATCACTCTTCTAAGGAGTCCTACCGTCAGTAAAATAATCATGAAACTTAAAAATCAGAGGTCCGGGCCCAAGGGGGCTGCAGAGCCAGTGAAAAGAACAATTGAATGAGAAGGGATTTAGAAGGATGCGGTCGTGGTCTCGTAGATGTATTATCAGGACACTTTGTGCAGGGACTGAGGAAGCTCACGATAAACCTCAGTCAGGATAGCCGATGTTCCGGTCGGCATTGCAGCTGAGTATCTTCAGGGCGTTGCCGAAACTCAAGTACTTTCATTGTAACCGAATCTTATAACTGTAGCAGTACTGCACTGACCAATGTAAAGTTTATTTGAAATTAATGTTCACGTGTATTTTATCTTTAATGAAAGAAACCTTTCTGCTCGCAAATGTCAATAATCTTCATACTAAGTAGCCTTCAGTGAATTTTAATCACAACCGCAAGTTTACCCTTACTAAAACATGAATAACCGATATTGCAGTTGAGCACGGTGAAGTAGTAACTACCTCCATTTATTACAGAATCAGAATTTTCCTTCACACTGGATTAACGTGACAGACAGACAGACACGTGAAATAGCTCAGAACTTGTTCAACTGTCTGTACAACAAAAATATTGTTACTTCACCGTATATTGTGCCTTGAACACCAGGGAAGTACCTTCACACAGTGCCATCTATGAGCTAATAGCATGGGAAGCGTGCTGTATCACGGAACAGACATTTCTTCAGAAAATGTTTCTTTGTTTCGTGGTTTTACGCATTTATTTATTGAACATTTCAAATTTAAGTAAATCCTGCACTTTTAGTATTCATCCTGGCATTTAACGGGCCAGTGAGAGTTACTGGCCATTTAAGATTCGACAATTTAAAGGCTGACCTATTTATCATGTTAATAAAAACAAACTAGTCTGAACTGTAGCGTATTTTCTTGTCATACACGTAAACAGTGGAACTGCATGAATGTCCAGTGTGTTGTAGCTCTGAGAAACGAGCAATATAATGATTTCAGCATTAAAACAAATCAAATCTTAAAGTCTCAGCTCTCCGGACAACCCATCCTATATTTTTCATTATCGTTGTCGCCTCTCCCTTGATTATGACTCTTGGTAATGCGATCCTGAGATACCGATATCCCGAAATATTCGAGTCATAACTGAATCCGATCACGGTAAGGAGGAAGATGAAATGTGTGAAATTATGCGGCGTAGCCTATTATAATTTTATGTTTTACTTCATGCTCGACAAAACATTCTTGATCATGATATTGTTGTTCCATGACGTCACAATGAAAGAAACGGATTTGATACTCAAATCAAAAACGAATACCAAAAAAAAAAATTGTTCTTTATCAAAACAATTTTAAGTTCAACACTTAAGAACTGTTCCTTCAGTTAACCATATACACCATATGCAAGAATGCTGCCACGCATGAAAGCATAATTTACGTGGTGGTGCCATCAAAAGAATGGCATGTACTTACCTGCTTGGTCCCAGTGCACATATTTCTTCTGAGCCTTGTTCTTCTGTTGCGGCCCCTTGGCCGGGGCGTTGCCCATGACAACAGCTTGGCGACCAGACGGCTATCCTCTCCCGTCTCTTACATGCCGACTCGGTGTCCCGCCAACACAGAATTAGCCGCTCTCAGCTGCGCTAGCTCTGCTCTTTGGAACAGAGTGAGGGCCAGCGAGACGCGCTGCTACCCTGGACCGTGCTACTAGGAATGCGCTATCCACACTGTTCCGCCATTGTACCTCAGTTTATACTTTGGCTGGGTCAATAATCAACGCTATGTTAACTGTGGAAGCTATGTACCATTGATAAAACTGGTGAATACTGTTAGGAATTTGATCTTCCTTGATACGATTTTATTCAGCGGAAATATTAGAAATAGTTCAGGGAAGATTGTTTGAACACTTCACCTCTCTATACAACACAGTTGCTGTCCTAACACAATTGTTAGTGAAATTAAGAGCGAAGAAGGACCTATTGGCCGAAATGTACATAATAGTCTTAGGCACTGTGAACACTATGATCGCGGGTTCTAATATTGCGCAGTGTATTCATGTTTGTGTGTGCTTTTCTTTCCCCGTCCCCATAATTCTTGCAACCTGAGCGTCCTCTTCGCCGAGAGATCGCTGGGTTCTGCAGCCTAATTTTATTCAAGTGTAAATGGTTGAATGGAAATTAGTTGACGGATCTACCGAAACAACAACTGTACAGTTTCTGTGTACACAGGCATCTGGCCGGTACGTGAGAAACGTCCCGCTCTGCACAATGCCCTTATCATCACCGTTCGTTGAATGATACTCAAAACCAAGGCTGGAGTGGCTGACTACGTGTATTTCCGCCACTTCTTTACTTAAAATATTTTCTCGAGATAGTCTGCCGTATCTCGATCAACTCCGTGGAGTAAAGTATTCCTTGAGCAGTTCATAAAAGGAATTATCTATTCTACTTGAAGAAGGAGGCAGAAAGTCCCTCTGAAACGCCAGTAGCGATCTCCCATTTTGCATGTCACATCCCAGAAAAAAGTAACCTTCAAATTTTGTTGTCTTGCAACCTGGATATGTATTATATTTTTCGCAAAGCATGCCATTAGAACTTGCTTCCATTTCAGTGTAATTCACATCTTCTTACCAGTGGACGGGTCGTGTTGCTATAGCACCCATTTTAATACTGTTCTCCAATCTACGCTTACATACCGCAATGACTCCCTCCTCGTAATGCTCTCCAGCTAAAATTGTGTCCACTTCTGCCCTGAAGATGGAGGCAGAAGGACTACGCTCTTTCGAAGCGCTGGTACCCACCCACCGGACTGGTCGATGTTCTAAAATCACAATAAAATATATATAAATATTTTTTTTGTTCTTCTCATGAGTATTATATGACCTAGCAATTTCACTGTTCTTAATTTATTAAATCTGTGATACACAAGATCATGTGACTGTGTAACTTTTCGTTCAGCCTGAACGTCCTCATGTCATCTTTCTTTGTTACAAATACTTTCCGAGCTCACGTCCCAGACATTATTTTGAAATTGCATTTCATGGATCGAATAACGTTGACCGGTGCCAGAGTGAGGCTTTCCAGAGATTTCTTCAGTCTCTGTGATAGTTAATGGGGTCTGTTAGTACAGCACAAGTAACTGCGAGAGCTACGTATATTGTTGGCAAATGGGCGCATTGCAAACTATCACTACAAGATACTGGAATTAACAGAGGAAGTACAATACTAACAGCCTTGGAGCGATATGAATTATAACATCAGATTCTACTGAGAGAGCTGCCTGATCCGCTGATCACGCACTTATTGCTCCACGTCGAAAATAAAATATTTCAACCAGAGTTATATTTCAGAATTATTTAAAATAAACAAAAATTTAGGTATTTATCTCTGAAGTTACCATTTTATCTATATCGAAATGGTTGATTTTCACAAAAAGAATCCTGAAACTTGGCCAGATATAAGGGTGCATGTTACGCAATGTGTGAATGTGGATCGAAGGCGTTTGCTGTTTCGAAAAGTTACAGCACGAAGATCGCATTTCTTAACTTGCTTGGGGCAGGAATGTGGAACCTATGGCCGTATCCATCTGAGCTGACAAAGGCTTCATAGTTTCCTGATCCCCGATCCAAGGAATAGTTCCATGTGTTCCAAAATTAATTCTGTATTGGAAAAGTCAGAAGTCACAATCCGTAAGAGGAGAAAAGAGAAAGAAAAAGGTACGGGCAATAAACAGCGACATGAAATCCCCCCCTCCTCCTTACACAAGGGCTGACTAACAAGACTGAAGCAGACCTAATGGCGCTTGCATTCGGTATGTACTCAGTTCGAGTCCCTTCCTGGTAACGTCTATTCTGAACAGCTTTCTTCGTAGTCACCGCCGTGAAAACCTCAAATCTTACACAGCATTCTCCAGAGTTTTCTTCACTCCCTGAAGATAAATTCAAAGATAATACTCTGAAACAGTTCTACGCCCTTCCTGATTCATTTACAGTTACCTTTTCGTTCTTGTGAGAATTGCGGAATAGAACGAGTTCATCCGATATGGTGCAAGAAGTCGGCTATAAATAACAAAACGTATATAAACCACAAAAACAAATACGGAAGTGCCCTGCCATCTACCATATTCTCGGAAACTACATTATCCATTTACGATTGCTCAGTCGATGCTCATAGAACGACATAATCTTGCTTGCAACCATCTGAATGACAGGCCGTTAGTCGCCGGCTTCACGCCGCGGCGGCTCGGGTTCGAGCCCGGGTCACGTCATGTGGTATTTGTGGTGGACAAAGTGGCACCTGGGCAGGTTTTCTCTGAGTACTTCGGGTTGTCCTGCCAAGGAAACTTGCAAACGCCACGCAACCGCAAATTTCGAGAATTTATATCAGCTTAAGTTGAACACTTGTTCCTGAATTGAGCAGCGCAAATTGAGGAAACGGCAAAGAAACTTGCGGAACGACTGAGAAACTCAACTTCCAAGCAACGGAACATGCCAGTCTTCTCATAGTTGCGTTGCCGGGTGGTTTCCTAGTGTCAGCTGTTCTATAACGCGAGTCAGTGATTCATTTGTTTCTAAAGATGGCATGAAAGGATGAAGAAGCTGCTAATTTTGTTTTGGGCAGTTACTTGAGCAAGGGCTTGGTATAGATGACAAACGCCACCCAGACTATGCTAGGCAGGACAAAATAGATTTGGCTTGGAAAAGAAATTTTCATGAAATGGAGTCTGGATCCAAGTTAAGTGCTTTCGAAACAATATAAGCGAGTCTGTTTAAACTGTCACAGAAGAACGGATGCATCCAGTGTTTTCTTTTCCTAATACTGTATTTAAGCATCCAGCACTACGTCACATATTTTACTTATATTTCCGTCTTAAATTCAACTTATGATATAGTCAGCCTTCTTCCACATTACATGGCTCGGCTTTATACGGCCATCATCAGGTGCCTTCTGTCTTGCTAAAATTGTTGGACTGTATGTCAAAATTTCTTATCGCGTGTGAACGCGATATTTCTTATTCTAAATAAATTGATCTTAATTAAAACACATTAATTAACATCCCAATATTTTCCTTATGGTCGACGTCCTCTCTTCTCACGCCGTCTCAACCACTACCACATTATGACAGGATCAGTGTTATTATCTTCCGTTGCAGAAAGTAAGTACACGAAATTAAAAATACAACCGTGCATTACGTCGGGCGAACATAGCCACTTAAGATGATGTGAGCAACTAATCAAACATAAGTTTCCTCAGTATGCGCCTGCTAATCTGGAAACCAGTTGCCTGCTTGAAATTGGCGACATTTCTGGGAAATTGCGGTTGCGTTGCGGCTGCCATTTTCCTTGGTACGTCCTCGCCCTTACCGTCGCCCATCTTAGTTTCCGCAGGTCCAGTGCCCGTACTGCCTTCATCCATTTAAACAGTGTGATCGTGAGCTCGAATCCCACTCTGGACATGAAGTTACGTCCGCGGTTTCCTGGGTTTCTGTTGTATTGTGCAGGTAAATGCTTTGCGGAAAGCCGACCGCCCGTCTGAAAAGTCCTATTAGATGTCTCTTAAAATTAGGAGTTTCAGAAGCTAATTGTGAACTTACACAGAAGAAAGGGCCGAAACGGTAAAGTCTGAAGAAGAAACCACAATGAATATTGCACGTATTATCTACTTCAGTTGTTGATGCAGCCAGCGTGGAGAATTGTAGGAGTTACTTTTGAACGCTTTTTGTTTTTGCTGTTTACAGTCAGAGAAGGTTAGCTCTGAGAACTCACAAGAACTCTACTCGTAATCGTCAATGAAAGCAATCAATAATAGTATTGTTTGTAAACTATGATCATGTCCAAACGTGACTTCATTTCGCATAATGAAATTAAGCTTCAGCCTTAATGAATTCTGCAGAATTCGTCCAAATTCTACATATTGAATCTCTGAACTAATATACTCGAATTTGTGAACCGTTTTCTCCCTTACGCATTCTTTTTAGATTTATGGGGATAATACTGCTCAAACTTTCCTCCCAGGACCTTGAAGTGCGTGACAGTAAGCGACTTTATTAAAATGTCTACATTCTCTCACACAGCTACACTTCAGACAGCAAACATGTGGCCCAAGTCTGGCAGATACATCGCGCCCACACTGATACTTTCACCTTAAGTGCACTGGACACAACAATGCCGCCTCCTTGGGCACTGGCAATGAGTCCATTCAGCTTCTCAAGAAGGCCGGCAAGATTTACTCATGTACTCAGCTGAACGGTTCTATTTGGATGAGCGTATGAAGATACAATACATTTCGGTCACACCATACTTATTTGACAGCCGTTTTGGTTGCACCATATTTTTGTAACAATAATGCGCTCACTTTATGTAGGCCTACGTTGTACGGAGAATTTACTGTAAAATTAATTTAGAATGGTCAGATAGCGAAGACGGTCCTGATTTGTCTTGAGAAATGCACATTATTACAGCAAATTTTGTGGCCTTGTTTATTCTCATTTCCGTTTGTTTACTGAGCGACGTCATATAAACTTACAAAATTTTACACTGTCCAATGAAACCTGGTAAGCGATGAACGTGAAGAGTGAAACGGTAAAATTTGAGAGAAGACAGCCCCGACCTATTTAGCAGCTCCTCCCCTCTTCAGCCTACTCCCCACT